GATATACATTATTCCACTGGCAGCACAGTAATTTGTTTACAACAGCATCACCACAGACATGTGAATAATACACTGTACTGCAACTATTGCTATGACATCACTAAGTCATAGGAATTTTTCAGCTCCGTAATAATCTAGTGGGACCACTATCTATCTACTATAGTAGCAATATATAATATATAATTTATTATTTGGTCTGTCATTGACCAAAACATCATTTTGTGGCACGTGACTATATATCATGTCCTTTGTTAATCGAAATAATACAGGTTTCTACTGTTTGAGCATTTAACGTGAATGAAGTTTATGCTTATACAAAGGCACAATAAATATATAAAAACAAAAAAATAGAGAAGAAGTGGAGTAGAATTTACTCTATTTGATGTGTATATATATATGTGTATATATATGTTTATATGATGTAAATACACACACACACACAGAGCTTACGGTGATTAATATTAGGTGTCAACTGGACTGGATGGAAGGAAGCCTAGATAGCTGGTGTTGTTTCTGACTGTATCTGTGATGGTGTTGGCAGAGGAGATTGACATGTGAGTCACTGGACTGTGCAAAGATGACTCATCCTCAGTGTGGGTGGACACCATCCAATGGCTGCCAGGCGAGTAGAACAAAGCAGCTAGAAGAAGGTGGGGTAAGCTGGCTTGCTGAGTCTTCTGGCTTTCATTTTTCTCCCATGTTGGATGCTTCGCTTCTGTTCCTCCTGCCTTTGGATATCAGACTCCAGGCTCTTCAGCCTTTGGACCCTTATACTTACACCAGTGGTTTTACAGGGGCTCCTGGGACTTCGGCCACAGACTGAAGGCTGAACTTTTGGCTTCTCTGCTTTTGAGGCTTTTGACTCAGACTGAGGCACTACTGGCTTCTTTCTTCCCCAGCTTGCAGATGGCCTATTGTGGGACTTTGCCTTGTGATTGTGTGAGCCAATTCTCCATAATAACCCCCCCTTCATATATACATGTCTCCTATTAGTTCTGTCCCTCTGGAGAACCCTAACACCGAACGTACATATGTATTACTATGACTATTGCAAATAATGACAATATCTGGTTTCCTATGAGTTATGGGTAAGTTGGAAGTCAATAAGAAGTGAAAATATACTTTTAATGTAACATGAAATAAAATAATTTTCAATTAATTTTAAAAATTGGAGTGAATTAGTTATTACAAACTCTAAATAAAATAAAATTTAAATATCTTCAATAGATTAAACACAGATTCCCAACGAAAACTTGGATATTCAAAAAGAAGACAAAGTAAAGGAATTGTGTGGATATACCTAACTGGATATTGAACAGTGTATTAATGATAAAGTTTCCAACACTGAAATAAGTATTTATATTAGAATTTGGGGAGCAGATACAGGCTAATTGGTAAATAAAATAGAGAGTAATCTTACTTTGTTTGTACTGGTATAATAAAATATCACAAACCAAGCAATGTATTAACCATACAGATGTATTACTCACAGTTCAGAGAGCAGGGAGGTCCAAGATCAAAGTGCCAGCAGGTTTGCTGTAAGTTGTATTAAATTAACAAGTTTCTATGTGAAAAGTAAACAATGAAAATATCTATTATGAAAACATAAGGGAACAACAGAGTTTAAACACTTGGTAGAGTTCAATCAGAAGGTAATAAAAATTAAGTTATAATTAATACCTGTGCTTACGTATTTCCATACAAATAAAATACACAAGGATAATATTTTAGATATTCATCATTATATTAAGTGTAAAGTATTTGAATGTAAAATCAAAGAATGCATATATTCAGTAATAACTGTTTGTTGTCTTTATGAGGTATTTCTTTCATGTAAGCATAAAGAAAAATGAATATAAAAGTAGAGCTACCATATGATGCAGCAATCCCACTCCCAGGTATATACCCAAAAGAAAGAAAATCAGTATATCTGAGGGATAGCTGTACTCCCATGTTTGCTGCAGCACTGTTCACAACAGCCAAGATCTGGAAGCTACGTGAGTGCCCATTAACACATGAATGGATAAAGAAATTGTGGCATATATAAACAATGGAGTAATATTCAGTCATAAAAAGAATGAGACCCTGTCATCTGCTACAACATGAATGGAACCAGGGGTCATTTTGTTCAGTAAAATAAGCCAGTCACAGAAAGACAATCATCACATGCTATCACTTACTTGTGGGATTTAAACATCACAACAATTGAACTCATGGAGAGAGAGAGTAGAAGGATGGTTATCAAAGACTGAGAAGGATAGTGGAAGGGTAGTAGTAGGGAGGTGAAAATGCTTAATTAATGAGTATAAAAATATTTAGAAAGGATGAATAAGACCTAGTGTTTGATAGCACAACAGGGTCACTACAGTCGATAATAATTTAATTGTACATTTTAAAATAACTAAAGAGTATAATTAGATTGTAACACAAAGGATAAATCCTTAGGGAGATGGATACACCATTTTTACACAATGTCATTATTATGCACTGCATGTCTGTCTCAAAACAGCTCATGTGCCCAAGAAACATATACACCTACTATGTACTCACTGAAATTAAAACTGAAATATTTAAAAAAGAAAAGATGAAGGTAAAATATTCTAAAACACATAGCATATCTCACAAACTGGCAGAACACTATTACAGTTAATGTGCTGTCTTAATATAAGGCAAGCCCTTTACTGGAATTGAAGAAGCATGCTTCCTAATGTTAGATTAACTTTCCAAACCACTAGTAATATACATTTTTATCACTGCATGTACCTAATGATACAAGATCAACAAATAATTGAATAAAGTGAATAAGTAAACAATCATAAATGGGATTTTAAACACTTTTCTCTCAGTGCTTAACACATAAACAGGCCAGGGAGCCTATAGAAAGATTTGAACTAGACAAGTAGTTATCACTCATAGGCACACACTCACACATATGTAGCATACTCACATATTTAATTTCACATATTTTTCCCAAATACACTATAATCTCATAACTCTAAGCATATTAGTAAAAAATATAGGACTACAATTTCAATGTAGTACCACTAGCCAAGCTTGGCCAGTGGACAGTTAAAAAATAGATATTCTAGTTCAATTTTAATTAATACAAAATAAATACCATGTAAAACAAGTTTCTCAGCACACTAGCCACATCTTTGTACACAAAGATGAAGAATATTTCCAGCTTCATAGAAAATGTTCTAACTACAGTTTACCTACGATAGAAGTCAGTAAAAAAAAATCCGCCAACCTTCGTGGTTTTAAATTCAGTAATACATGTCTAAATAACATATGGGTGAAAGAAATTCTCAAAATGAATGGTCACAATTTTTATATGAATTATAAGGAAAATAGAACTCTTTCTTGTAAAAACTGATTGCCCTCTTGTAAAAACTGATTTGTAATGTATATATATTACAAAAGATGACCTAAAAATTAAATTAACTGGAATGCACTAAAATAAAAATAGAAAAGCTAAAACTAAATACAAGTGATGTATAAGAAAAAAATGAATAAACAGTAAAAAGCCACGATAAAGAATGTTACAATAGAGAGAACAGCAAGGCCAAAGGTATTTTCAATGAAAATGCTTTTAAAATTTGATGAGACTACTAAAAATATATGCCTACTAATGTATCCGCAAAAATAACAAATTTAACATTTTAAAAAATTGATAGGAGCCGGGCACATGATGTCTCCCAAAGTGCTGGGACTATAGGATTGAGCCACCACAACTGGCCTATTTCTGGATTAAACATGGAAATACCATAATGGTATTTAAAGTTATTTAGAGGCAATAAAACTATATTTTCATTACATTTTAATGTCTATATGAAATAGAAAATTCATAAACACTCTTTACCAAATGCAGCACCTCAAATAGAAATCTATCTAAGAAATTCAGTTGACATAAACTTTCCTACAAAAATACTCTACAAACTCAGATGACATTACTAGTGAATTATAACATTTAAAAATAAAGCAGTACTCTCACCAAATGCTTTCAGGTTACAGAAAAACAGAAATTCTTCCCAAGATAGCCTTGATACCAAAACCTTTCAAGTTTATAGACTTGAAACATGGTCAAATATCCTTGTGAACATGGATGAAGAAATAAATCTTACCCTACATAAAATACATATCCACTTTTTTTTTTTTTTTTTTTTTTTTTTTTTTTTTGAGACAGAGACTCCCTCTGTCGCCAAGTTGGAGCACAGTTGTGCGCTCTCGGCTCACTGCAACCTCGGACCCCCGGTTTAAAGTGATTCTCCTGCCTCAGCCTATAGGTGCCTATAGGTGTACACCACCACGCCCAGCTAATTTTTGTATTTTTAGTACAGATGGGGTTTCAGCATGGTGGCCAGGATGGTCTCGATCTCCTGAGCTCATGATCCGCCTGTCTCAGCCTCCCAAAGTGCTGGGATTCCAGACGTGAGCCACCGCACCCAGCCAGCACTGATACTTTATGAGGGAAATATACAATGATCATCATGGATTTATTTCAGAAGCAAAAGCTGGTTTAACATTTGAAACAATAAAAGGAGTCTATAAAAACGTTATATAAAGAAAACATATATGATTCCAACTGATACAAATAAAAATGTTACAACAATTGATAAAATCTATTAGAAAATAGGAATATTATAAAACTGCTTCAATATGAGAAAGATAGGATGAAAAAAACCACCAAGCTTTGTAAATATGAATAACATGTTGAAGTATTTTTTGCCAAAACCAGGAAACGATACATATGATACACACAGAACTTTGACTGCACTTTCTATTCAACTATGGGTATAAAACCCTAGCCAGTGAAAATAAATGAAAATAAAACTAAGTTATAGCACATGGATTAAAAAAAAAAAAAGTGTGATGATTTGCAGATAAAATGTTCTTTATATAGAACACCCAGAAAAAAATTCAATAGTTGACATAATAGATTTAAATATATAAAATCAATGGAATAAGTAGATATAAAATCAAAATGCAGACATCAATTGTATTTCTACTTATAACAACAAAAACTATTAAAGGGAATTTTAGAATCAGGATGCCATTTACAAAAGCAGAAATGTAAAATACCTACAATTCTGTATGACTTCAATCCCCCAAAATACAAAATACAATAGATATTAAAGACAGCACAGCACATTGAAAGAAACACTTTATGTTGATTAGAAAAGTCAATATTGTAAAGAAGCTCATCTTTAAAACTTACTTTAGAGAATAAATGCAGTCACAAACAATCCCAGGAGACGCTTTTTTTTTTTTCTGGATAGCTTTATTGAAGTGTCACGTACAAAGCATAAATTTCATCCACTTAAAATGATTAAAAATCAATGATGTTTAGTATATTCACAGAGTTACAACCATCACCACTACTGAAATTTAGGAAGTTTTCATCACCACACAAATAAACGTTCTATCAATTAGTAGTCATCTCCTATTTCCACCTCCCTTAGGCATTGGCAACCACTATTCTACTTTGTGTCTCCATGGGTTTGACTGTTCTTGATATTTCATATAAACTGATTCATATAACATGCAACTTTTAGAAAGGCTGAATACCACATATATCATGTTTAGCAAAACGAGCCCAACACAATGCTAGGATATCTGTACTTTAGTAATTGTGTGTATCCTACTTCAATAATTGACTTAGAATTTTCTTATTAGAGCAAATAACATAATTCATTTCAAGATTTATGCAATCATAATATTATTTCTATTTTAAGAAATATAAAATTTATCTGATGCACTGCAAATGCAAATGCTTTACTTCTAAAGCTTATGCTTACAATGATATATTATTGTAGATCCACACTGGTCTGATTTGAGTCCACGTACATGTAGCATTGCACAGTTGTGTTCAGCATGATCTGAGTCTTTTATCCTGCAATGGAAAGAAATCCACATTCTGTTACATTTTAAGCCAGTGATTCAAGAGACAAAGGCATTTTCTAGGTACTGTAAGAAAAGAATTTTATGGAAAAGGGTAATTAAATTTTGCATAATATTAGTAAGAGTCATTGTTCTGAACACTCAATAGAGTGGTCCCCCTTCATCCACGGGTGATATGTTTCAAGACCCCAGTGGATGCCTGAAACGGCAGATAGTACAGAACCTATAGAGAGATTATGTTTTTTCTACACATTCCTAACTATGCTAAAGTTTAATTTCTAAATTAGGCACAATAAAAGATTGACAACAATAACTACTAATAAAAATTATAGCAATATGTCAACAGCACTACTACTGTGCTTTGAGGATATTCTTAAGTAAAAATGTAAGCATGGCTTTTTAATTAAAAAAAGCTCTGCAATTCCCTGATAGTCCATCTCAAGCTTGTCCAACTCGCTGCCCATGGGCCGCATGTGACCCAGGACAGCTTTGAATGCGGCCCAACACAAATACGTAAACTTTCTGAAAACATTCTGAGATCTATATATATTTTAGCTCGTCAGCTATCATTAGTGTTAATGGATTATATGTGTGGGCCAAGACTATTCTTCTTCTTCCAATGTGGCCCACAGAAGCCAAAGACTGGACACCCCTGGTCCATCTGATAACCAAGAAGGTTACTAGGTGACTAATGAGTGGGTAGACATTATGGACTACTACAGTCTATTGTAAAATATTTATGTCAACATTTCACTAATTTTCCACATCTTTCTTCATGTCAATGATTCCACATACATTTATTCATATTGTTCTTCTGAATTTCTCACTTATATAGATATTTTTATATTGCACCGTACAAAACAACTTACTCATGTTTGAAAGTCAAACCATTTATTGTCACCCATGGATGATGACTGCTGTTACGAAACACACTAATCCATGAGGAAGTTAAAATGGCGGTCAGAAATTTCTAAAAGAAAAGAAAGAATTTTCACTTAAATAATAATTATGACAATATTTAAAAACAATATATTAAAGTTGAAAACCACTATTTGCAGTACCAAAAACTTTCATAAGTGTTTATAATTTTGATATAAATGAACTCTTCAACATTTATACTTAGTACTTTCATTCTTATTTTCATGTTAATAAGAACATTTTAATTCTTGCATTATAACAGTTACCCCAATTGACTGAATAAACACAGGAAGGATTTAAATAAGTTTCCTGATACTGTGCATTCATTCCTCCAGATACTGTGACGAAATCAATCTATTTTTGTACTATATTTCCCAGAGTTGGAGATTTAGAAGAGAAATGAGAGGTTGTTAGTTGGAAATAAATGACACAGAAGCTACAGATTGGGTTTTCTGGGCACCACACCATTCTTTAACTAGATAAGCCCTCACTTTTAACTGATTTAGTTTTGGTGGAATAACAGTGGTCCTGACCAGGTGGTGTAGACTCGTCTCTCTCTGGTACTCCCGGCTAAAAGCAACTGTGATTAATGAAAGACAAAAGTAATGGAGAACTCTGAAAGGCAGAAAGAGATAAATGAAATTGTCTGGAACCCTAGCATCAGGGATCAACAAAGTGGCCGAGCGAGCATGTTAAGTCCCCCACCCAACAGAAGAGGGTGACCTAGGCCTGCTGTTTCCCTGCACCCAACGTGGCAACAGGAGGAGGGTATTGAAGGGGAGTCCCCTCCACAATACCAGGCAAGGCTGGTACCACTGGCGAGGATGAGCTACCAGGAGACCTGCTATCAATACAGCCAGAGGAAGTGCTTCCTTCTCATTCCAAGAGACACCAGGGTGGATGTGGGTGAGGAGGATCAGCAAAGGGACCCAATGACTACCAGTGCACCACCCAGGGTCCTCTTTGTCCCTGAGGGCAGGAGACCCACTTCCCCACCCAGCGACAAGGACTCAATAGATTCTTAGTGTTCTTTGTACATAGTACAGCAGTGAACAGTAACAAATGACAGATAACTGCAGTAATATGGAGGAATTGCACAAATATCAGATAGGAGTGAAAAACACAGACATGAAATTTACACTGTATGATTCCCTTTATATAAATTCAAAAACAGGCAAATGTTATTTATAACATTAAAAGTCAAGACAATGTTTTGGAGAGGAGTCAGGATAAGGGATGAGGGCACACACAGGGGTGGAACTGCTAGAGCTGGAAACTGTTATTTCATGATCCGACTTGTATCACAGGAGTTCATTCACTTTGTGACCAATCTGCACGACCAGATCATATAATGCCCGATAAAATTAGTTAGCAACATTTATGTGGATTCAAAGCACTTATAGAAGCATGGTTTTCCATGAAAAGCAAAAACTGAAAATAATCAAAAGCACGTTAGCAGTATATGAATTTTTAAACATTATTAAGTCAATCAATTAACTATTACATAAACTTGAAAACATATAAGCTACTCCCTACTAAAAACATAAGCTAAATATATATGCCCACACATATGGATGATTTCTACAAATGTATTATTAACCGAAATAAGCTTTTCATAAAGTGCTTATAACATTTACATCTTACCAATTCTTCTTCATTATCTATAGAAAGCAGGCTGGAGTTCTTCGAAGCACAGGCCAGCAAACTTTCTGCCCAAGTTCTTTTCTCCTTACCAATATAATAACAACTGTTGGAATATGTAATCCACTCCTCAGGACAATGGCCACAGTGACGTGCTAAATAAAGATATGAATTACTGTCTAGACCAATATGAATTTTTTAAAATGAAATTTTTTTTTACATCTTTGCAAAGGTATAAACCTATACGTATGCAACATATCTATGCATCTTCAGAGGCTGCTAAACATGTAGTTTTAAAATACCCAGTCACTTATATACATATGTGCAACAAAGGGTCAGCCTCTCATCTCCTAATTGTGTTCCCATATAAAGCAAACCAGCAAACAAAAATCTACTCTATACATGTGTTGAAAATCAATGAACTAATGTGATTTTTAAGGAGCAATAGATAACTTGTATCTTATAGCAATAAGAATTTGAACACAATAGATAAAAACAAAGTATAGTGATTTTACTTACAGTTGATGACAAGGGAATGCCTTACTCTAATCTTTATTTATGAACATTTATTGCCAAATTTTATAATTTTTCACCCCAAATTTTATTTTTGTACAGCCTAAGATCAAGAAAAAATAAACTGTATAATATTAAAACTTTAAAAATTATTATATACCTTTCTGAGTTCTTGTATTCAGGGAAGAATTGTTGTGCTTCTGTGTTAATGTAGCTAGAAAAATTAAAGTAATCTTTGTAAAAAATTAGCATCTAAATCAATCATAATAATTTTAAGTTTTTGTTTGAAATTTTTTGTGTTAGAGTTAGAATAATATGGAATAAAAATAATTTTAAGAAAAATTTGATAAAGTAATCATGGTTTTTTGGAAAAGTATTTCATAGATCTAAAGAACCAAATTTCACCGTCTCATATGGTTTTATAATTCTTGATTTAACTACTTTCAAAAATTAATTTCTATTTCTCAGTAAGGTTTTTCAGACTCCTAGAACATATTTTTGAGTTATGAAATCAAATTATATACATACAATTGCATCAGAAGCGAATACTTTCAACAATTATTCTTTCATTTATTCTTTGACAAATTCTGAATGACCATTCCATATTCAGTCCAAAGATATACATTACAATGAGAATTCTATTCCCTGAAAATATGAAATGTATAGAGGCACATTCAATCATTAACGTGAAAATTCCCCTTGTAATCTTCTAAAATAGACTTACAGGGAATAACAACTATTGTTACCACAGAGGCCATTAAAATAAGACAGATAATTCCCAGGATCCCAGCAATGAGCTTCTCTGGAACTGACGGTAAATCTGCAGGGAGCGAAATGGGAACAGTGCGAAAGGAGAGGTGGACATAGTTGTTTAGAAGATTCAAAAACAAAAGAACCTGAATGCACAGGAATCATACGGAGAAACTTGGACCCCAAACCCTCATCTCCCATTGTAATCTTTTTCTCTGAATAATATACCATTGCATTTTCAGCAAAAATAATGCTCCATTAATTCTTTGACGAAGACTACACATTTCAACAATGAGTTAAATCAGTCTTCATATTTTGTATTGAAATAGCATATCTCAACTTGAAATTCTGATCTTTGCAAATAGAAAATATGTGAGCACTCCCTGCTCTTTCCCCACATCCCTGTACCCCAAGCTGCACATCCTAGACTGTTACAGTGAGGATCTTTTAAATGCTTTACCTTTGCAGTGATAGTTTTTGTCATTCCCTTGAAAATCCTGCGAAGTTTTTTGAAGGTTTAATTCCGCATAGGTTATTTCCTGTTCAGTTACTAAAGTGGATCTTGAATTGCCCTTAGGTTTTTGCTGCTGCCTCTTTTGGTTTGGGGGCAGATTCAAGTCTGAGTAGATTACTCCTTGGTTATCCATCTCTGCAGTGTGTGATGTCAGGGACTGTACTCTACAATAACCGTAGTTAAGAAGTTAATAAATAGTTTATATACAATATTCCCTAGTGCATCTCTGCAGTGTGTGATGTCAGGGACTGTACTCTACAATAACCGTAGTTAAGAAGTTAATAAATAGTTTATATACAATATTCCCTAGTGCAGTTAAAAGGGTGAGGTGGAGAACGAGTATTGGAGCTCATTTTGCATTAAAGAATCTAAAGTTCTTTCTCTAATTTTCTTCAAGCCTAAACAAGTTTCTTATGGTAAAATATTTGTTTTAAAAAAAATATTTTTGGGTCGGGCGCGGTGGCTCATGCCTGTAATCCCAGCACTTTGGCAAGCTGAGGCGTGCCGATTACAAGATCAGGAGATCCATACCATCCTGGCTAACACGGTGAAACCCCGTCTCTACTAAAAATACAAAAATTAGCCGGGCACGATGTCAGGCGCCTGTAGTCCCAACTCGCGGGAGGCTGAGGCAGGAGAATCGCTTGAACACGGGCGGCAGAGGTTGCAGTGAGCCGAGATCGTGCCACTGCACTCCAGCCTGGGCGACAGAGGGAGACTCTGACTCAAAAAAAAAAAGAGAAATTTCTACGTTTGACAAAATATTATTGCTGGGGCAATAAGAAGCAATAAATTACTAAGGAATAAAGAAGTTCAAGAATAAAAATATATTTCTTAAAGTCTGATGCTTTACCTGTATTAAAAATTAAAATGTATCAGAAAAAGTTCTGCACTCATTTTTTATGTTAATTTTGAAATCCAGTAATGGTTAAGACTATGTGGTCTGCACATGAGTAATAGTAAAGTTGAGATATATATATACACATATATATATATAAATTTCTTGCACTAAATTACTTTTATTTAGTAATTTATACACATTAATGAAAATCAATAGGGGCAATTAACTGGTCTTTTCTTAGTGGCTGAAATGTTCTAAGAAATTATTAAAAATTTAAATTATTAAAAATTATTAAAAATGTGAATATTTGTATATGTCAGAAAATGCTATGTGACACTGTTAACTTATGCATAACCTAAATAGTATTAGGAACACCACATAAACTGTTAATACTTATAGAAGTATTGATAATTTAATAAGTAATTGGTAATTCATTTCCTGACTAAATTATGAACCAAAAAATGATAAATAAAAGCATAGGTAATTCATGTTAAAGCACATTTCATTTAAACTTATTAAAAAATTTTATGGTTGTCAAAGTGAGTAAAGGCCACTTTTGTTGTATAAGTACTTGTAAAGTTTCAGATACTGTAATTAAATCATTTAGTCAATGGGCTCTGGAGTCAGTGAGATCTAGAATGAATTCTAGCTTTGACACTTACAATGTGTGACCTTTAAAAAGTTATTCTATGTTTAATAACCCAGTTTGTTAATCTAAGACGGGAATAAGAACATATAAAACGTTGCGTGTAAAACATTTACCACTCAACCTGGCACTTAAAGTTCTCAATAAGCATTAGCTATTTTAATTATTATTTTAGTCACAATTGTTATGTTACTGTTTCTGATTCATGTCAGTTAAAGAACGGAAAATGAATCTTCAGATAAGTCTCCTATATCCGTGTGCTACATCTTTTTTTGCAATATTTTGATAAACTTTAAAAAAGTATTTTGATTGTTTTGTATTAGCTTTAGCATTTTATCCTCATTGTGATTTTTATTAAAAACAAAAACTGCTTTTATTTAATCTACATGTCTGAGGAACTGTATTTGGCTTTCATCAATTGATTCATTTATTTTAATAATCTTTAATGGTTAAGCTAAATATAAATTATTATTCAAAGATACATGATGCACTGATTACAAAATACAAAATTAATTGTTCATTATTGTGATGTTAATAAGTTTCACTTATATTATATTGATCAACAAACCCACTAGGTTTCCACAGACAAGAATTTGAAAACTTTAAGAAATCCTTCAACATATTTCATATGGTTTTTACCCTGAGTTATTCAAATGAAGACAGCAATATTCTACTTTGATTTTATTGTATATTAATTATACCTCCTTTGCACCATATTGAGCACTTGTAATCACTCACTAAATGAGGTAGGCTAGTAGAGAGTTGGAGAGTAGCAACACATACCTTCTGCCCCCAGAAAGTCACACATCCTTTAGTGGAGAGGCCAGGTTAGTCTCACAAAAACGCCTGCTATAGCTGGGTAATAAAAGGTGAAATTTAAAGGCATAAATCCAGGACAAGAACAAACAATGCCTACAATCTTCGCAGATTGCCCTGTGAAGGCTCAGAGTGAGTCAAGAGTGGAAAAAGTAGATTTCTCATCAACGTGTTACTAAGGTTTGAACAGGAAATTCTACACATGGGCTATTGTGAAATCAGTTTAATCTCATCACACACCTCCAAAATATAGGATACTCTGGTCTGTTAAAAGTACAAGGTTGACTTTGAAAGTGGGTCATTTAGTTGGTCCATTTTTCAAGCACCTATGAGAATTTTTTTTTCTGTTTTGGTCACAAACATTGCCAACCCTCACCTTGTTAAGAGTGCCTTTTAGACTAGATTGCTAAATCTTAACATTGCATACTTCTTTTCTTTATATTATTTTATTATGTCACTTCCATTATAATAGAAAACATTCTAAAACTCATAGTAACATTATCAACTGATATCTACTGATTTTTTCCTTAATTATTCTGAAAAATTACTGCAGTAATTACTCAGTTGACTGTAGCTGGCACAAAAACCATCATTGCCAAACTTATATTATTAACTTAGTTCTTAAATTTTTGCATTTAATTTTTTTAAAAATAGATTATTTAATCTTCAGATTACCGCTGATGAAAATAAATGTATCTTGGAAAGGTAAAATATTAATCAATTTTGAAATATATTAGCATACCAGAGATTGAAATATTAAATAGCTATTCATCACATTCTTCATTTATCCATTCTCCACCATAACAAATTATCTCAACTTTGATAGAAATATTTAGTTGTAAATGACAAAAACTGAAGGCAAACTCTGTATGGGGAAAAAGTAATTTTAAAATCTCACTAGGAGGAAAGTCAGCAAATTGGCAGAATAGGTGGTCCCCCACACATATGCCCCCACAGCAACAATAATTTTTCAGCCATCCACAGACAAAAGTGGAGGAAACTCCCTTTGAGGGAGTTTTGGAATTCAAGTAGGAGTTTGTAAGATGCCAGTGGAACCCAAGACCTAGGAGGGTTGTTTTAGAGAATAGATTTGCATCCAAGTGGCAGACTTACCAACAGTGATTCCATCTCCAGACCTGAAAAGAGACCCATCCTCCTGTGGACTTGCCTTCAGCCGCATTAGGACTTCGTCATGCTGCCAAAACCATCTGTCCAGGGGCCCAGGAGGAGATTCACACACTAGTGTCTCAGGAGGTAGGCATATCAACTGTAGTCTCAATGTAGACCCTGAAACAGCCCTCTAACTTGGCTTTAGCTACTCTCAGCCACAACTTTTGAGATCAGTCTTTCGCCCACAGAGACTTCCTGGGAGACATATACATCTGTTCCCCTGGGGCATGCTTGCTGACCTCTGTCCTCTAGAAGATACTAAAATGGCCCGGAATCTCCACTCAAACTCCTCTCAACTGTGGCCTGAGTTAATCACAGGAAATTGCTGTGAGACTCACTCATCTTTGTCAGCAGTACAGGCTTGCTGACTTCAGTTCCATGGTAGTTTCTGAAACAGCCTTGAATCATGACCCTCATCCTTCTCAGTTGTGGGCTGTGAGCAGTCTTGCCAGCGCAGGCATATAGAGGGAGGGCATGTGCATCCATGTCCCAGCTGGGAGACCATTGACCTAGGTTTCACAGCAAATCCTGAAATGGGCCAGAAAAGGGGATTCAACCCTTCTCAGCTATGCTAGAGAGCAGTTTGCCCACACAGGGACCTGGAGAGAGACATCATAAGTGCCCCTAAAGGTACAGACCTTAGTTTTATTTCAGATCTTGAAACAATCCTGTGATCCAGATCCAGCCCATCTTAACCACAGTCTGAAGCAAGTTTGCCTGCCCAGATACCTGCCAGAAAACACACTCATCCATGACCCCAGAGACAGACATGAAGACACTGGTTTCAGCTATAGACTCCGAGGAAATCTTGTGACTTAGCACTAACTCCTATCAGCCAGAGGTTGAGGAACCCACTCAGAGACCCATGAGCAGCCTTCCCAGAAAAATAGATAAACTCTCCCCCAACTATACACCTAATAATAGACCCACCATCTACAGACCTTGAAGTGGACCCTCATTCCCTCCCCAGCCCTATAGAGTATGATGCTAGAGCCAGTTTGGTCCTCTGAGGGACTAAGGAGGATACAAGCCTGCTAGAAACCCTAGTAACAGGATCATGAACCAAAGATCCCACTCTGGACCCATAAGCAACCATGTGATCTGGCTGTAACCCCATTCAACCATGACACTGAAGGCAATCTCATCAGCCCAGGACCCTAATAGGAGAAGGTCTTAACCTACCGAAACCAGTCTGTAAAGACTGAAAGAGATGTCTGCTCTTTCAAGTGCACAGACACCAGTACAAGGATAAACAAATAACAAAGCATCAGACATATATGACACCACCAAAGGAAATGAATAAAGCTTTAGCAACTGATTCAAATAAATGGAGATCTATAAGTTTCCTTTAAGATAATTCAAAACAATCATCTTTAAAAATCTCAGTGAGATGCAAAAGAAGAGAGTACTAAAAACTCTAAAACAAAAATACATGAACAAAATAAGAATTTCATAAAGAAATATAAACCACTAAAAACAACCAAACAAAAATTCTGGAGCTGAAGAACACAATGAAAGAAAGAAAGAAGTCAATAGAGTTTCAATACCTGACTCAAACATGCAGAAGAATTAGTGAACTCAAAAAAGAGTCATTTAAGATTAACAAATTAGAGTAAAAAAAGAAAAAAGAATAAAAAGTGGCAAATAAAGCATAAGAGACCTTTGAAACACCACCAAGAATATGGTATAGAAAGTATAGAAACTTCAGAAGGAGAAGAGAGAGATAAAAGGTCAAAAATATTTTTTCTTTAAAGACATACTGTCTGGAAACCTTCCTCACTTGGGAAGGATATGGAAATCCAGATTCATGAAGCTCAATGAATCATAAGCAAGATCAGCCCAAAAAACACTAATATGAAGCACAATATAATCACATTGTCAAAAGTCTAAGATAAGAGAATCTTGTGGGGGGTTTTGTTTATTTTTTGCTTAACGTGATCCCATTTGTCCATCTTTGCTTTGGTTTCCTCTGCTTGTGGCGTATTACTCAAAAAATCTTTGGCCAGTCAATTGTCCTTGATAATTTTTCCAATTTTTTTTCTTTCAACTTTTATTTTTAGATACAGGGAGTACATGTGCTGGTTTGTTACATGAATTTTTCCAATTTTTTTTCTTTCAACTTTTATTTTCAGATACAAGGAGAACATGTGCTGGTTTGTTACATGGGTATATTACACCAGGATAGTGAGTATAATCCAAAGTAGGTAGTTTTCTGAACCATTCTTCCCTACTGTCCTCTCCCCTCTAGTAGTCTGCGGTGCCTGTTGTTCCCATATTTTTGTCTAAGTGTGCTCAGTGCTTGGTTTCCACTCATAAGTAAGAACCTTCAGTAGTTGGTTTTCTGTTCCTGCATTGATTTGCTTAGGATTATGGCCTCCAGCTCTGTCCATGTTGCTGTAAAGAACATGGTTTTATTCTTTTTTATGGCTGTGTACTAGTCCATGGAGTATATACGCCACATTTTCTTTATATGCAATTCATCACTGATGAGCACGTAAGTTGATTCCATATCTTTGCTGTTGTGAATAGTGCTGTGATAAAAATGAGTGTGTGCATCTTTTTGATATAATGATCTATTTTCATTTGGATATATTCCCAGTAGTGCAACTGAGGGTCAAATTGTAGCTCTGTTTGAAGTATTATGAGAAATCTCCAAACTGCTTTCCACAGTGGTTAGTCTAGTTTACATTCCCACCAATAGTGTATTAGTATTTTCTTTTTTCTACAACCTCACCAGCATCTGTTGTTTTTGGACTTTTAAATAGTGGTCATTCTGACTAGTGTGAGACGGTGTCTTATTGTGGTTTTGATTTGCATTTCTCTGATGATTAGTGATGATAAGTGTTTTTTAATACGCTTGTTGGATACTTGTATGTCTTCTTTTAAGGAGTGTCTGTTCATGTCCTGTGCCTATTTCTAAATGAGGTTATTGTTTTTCCTTGTTGTTCTGTTTAAATTCCTTACAGATTCCGGATATTAGACCTTTGTCAGATGCATAGTTTGCAAATAAATTTTCCCATTCTGCAGGCTGTCTGTATATTTCATTAACAGTTTATTTTGCTGTGCAGAAGCTTTTTAGTTTAATTAGGTCTCATTTGTCAATTTTTGTTTTTATTGCCATTGATTTTAAGGACATAACCAAAAAATTGTTTGCCAAGGATGATGTTGAGAAGGGTATTTCCTAGGTTTTCTTCTAAAATTTTTAGATTGAGGTATCACATTTAAAATTTTAATTATCTTGAGTTAATTATTCTACATGGTGAAAGGTAAGGGTCCATTTTAACTCTTCTGCACATGGCTAGCCAGTTATACCAGTGATACAGGAACTAGAAAGAAATTATTTAGGCAGATAGTGAGGGTAAAGGAATCCTCAGCAAGGCTTCCCTTTTAACAAAAAGCAGCCCCAAATTACTTCTTTTCTAACAAAGAGTAGCCTGAAAAATCGAGCAGCAGACGTAGATAGGCAGGCTGGAAGACTGCATGCATGAATGATGGCAGCTGTGCCAATAGAAAAGGGACTGACTGGAAGTCAGGTATTTTCAACATGGAGGCTCCATCTTCCCTTTTCTTTGTCACTAGTAAAGAACCAGGGAACATGGCACAGGCCAGGTAGACAACCATCTACATAATAAAAGATTAGGGTTGAGTGGCCAGCTTCTTTAAGCATTATGCAAATGGCATGCCTGGTCTGACCAATCTTTCATGCCCTATGTAAATCAGACCCTGCCCCCTCAAGCTCATCTATAAAACCCACATTTCACTGCAGAAGCAGCAACCCATTTTCTCCAGTATACCTCCCTGTGCAGAGATCTCTTCTCTTTCTTTTGCCCATTAAACCTCCTCTCTTAACCTCCCTCTGGTGGGTTCACGTCCTAGTTTTCTGTGGTCATGGGACAACAAATCTCAGAAATTATCCCAGACAACAAGGCAATTTCATCAGCATCATTTATTGAATAGGGAGTCCATTTATATCCCTTTTTTTTTTTAATCTTTTTCAAAATCAGATGGCTGTTAAGTGTGCAGCTTTATTTCTGAGTTTTCTATTCTGTTCCATTAGGATAGATGTCTACTTTGTACCATACCATGCTGTTCTGATATTGTAAAATTTGAAATTGGACAATGTAATGCCTCCAGCTTTCTTCTTTTTGCTTAAAATTGCTTTGGCTATTCAGGCTCTTTTTTGGTTCCCTATGAATTTTAGAACAGTTTTTTCTAATTCTCTGAAGAATGGCATTGGTAGTTTGACAGGAATTGCACTGAATCTGTAAATTGCCTTAAGCAGTATGGCCATTTTAACAATATTGATCCTTTAAATACATAAGCTTGGAAAGTTTTTCCATTAATTTGTGTTATCTTTGATTTCTTTCAGTAGAATTGTGTAGTTCTCCTTGTAGAGATCTTTCACCTCCTTGGAAGGCTGTATTCCTATGTATTTCATTTTCTTTGTGGTTTACATAAATGGGATTGTATTTTATATTTTACTCTCAGCCTAGACATTATTAGTGTATGGGAATGCTATGCTTTTGGTACATTGATTTTATTGATAACAAAAGTCTCTATCCTGAGACCTTAAACTAAGATCATTTACCAGTTCTAGTAGCCTTTTGGCAGTCTTTTTTTCATCTTTTAATTTTAGGTTTAGAATACATGTGAGGGTTTATTACATAAGTAAACTCATGTCGTGAGGGTTTATTTACAAATTATTTCATCGCCCAAGTATTAAGCCCAGTACCCAATAGTTATCTTTTCTGCTCCTCTCCCTCCTCCTACCACTCTCCACTCTCAAGTAGACCCCAGTGTCTGTTGTTTCCTTCCTTGTGTTCATAAGTTCTCATCATTTAACTTGTACTTATAAGTGAGACCATGCAGTATTTGGTTTTCTGTACCTGCTAGTTTTCTGAGGATAATAGCCTTTATCTCCATCCACATTCCCACTGAATATATAATCTTGTTCTTTTTTATGGCTGCATAGTATTCCATGATGTATATGTAGCACATTTTCTTCATCCAGTCTGTCACTGATGGGCATTTAGGTTGATTCCTTGTCTTTGCTATCATAAATAGTGCTGCAGTGAACATTGACATACATGTGTCATTAAGGTGAAATGATTTATATTCCTCTGGATATATACCCAGTAATGGGATGGCTGGATCAGATGGTAGTTCCTCTTTTAGCTTTCTGAGGAATCACCATACTGCTTTCCATAAAGGTTGAACTAATTTATACTCTCATCAATGGTGTATAAGTGTTCCCTTTTCTCCACAACCTTGCCAGCCTTTTTTTTTTTTTTAAACTTTTATATAGTCATTTTTACTAGTATAAAGTGGTATCTCATTGTGCCTTTGATTGCATTTCTGTAATGATTTGTGACATTGAGCTTTTCTTCATATGCATGTTGGCTGCATGTATGTCTTCTTTTGGAAAGCGTCTGTTCATGTTCTTCGCCCACTTTTTAATGGAGTTTGTTTTTCTCTTGTAAACTTATTTATGTTCCTTATATATTCTGGTTATCAAACCCTTATCAGATACATAGTTTGCAAATATTTTCTCCCATTCTGTAGGTCGACTGTTGACTCTGTTGATAGTTTAAGAAACTCTTAAGTTTAATTAG